TCATCCACACTGTCATAAAGATCATAGATATTTAAGGTATTCATAGTAGTAAGTGTGTGTAAAATATAAGTGACACATACCTTGATCCACTTGTGCCACTCTTCGAGGCTTTTTTGGATCTGCGATATGATAGGAATAACAAACCATTAATTCATAAGCGTGGCCGGAATAAAAGGATGCCTTTAAATAGATTACTTCCTCATCTAATACATAACCCTCAGTTAGCATGCTTCTCAATAGTACTAGTGGAATAGACCCCTAGCATGTGACGTCAAAGAGGCTCAATTGGGAGGACAAAACAAAAGAATTTCAATCTCAAAAGTGAAAACCTATCGTTATGTCCTCCAAATTGAGCTGCATTCCGACGTACCTCAAGGGCCGGTCTATAGTACAATTTGCCGTCACAAAATGGCATTTTCCATGACATTGTCGGCGGAAAACACGGAATTTTTGAATGGCCTGTGGAAAGTCATTGACTGAACGCCTTGATAAAGCTTTTTATTATACGACTATTACGTAATTTTACCTTATAAGGTCAAGAGAATTCGCAAAATATGGCACCGTATTATGCTAGTCCTGTCCCAGTTTAACCGGTTTAACTGGGACAGAACTAGCATAATACGCTGGCAACTTTTTGCATCATGTTTCGAGGTGAAAGTGACCCAAATTTTGACCTAAATCTTCACTATGACACGAACACTGACCTAGATTTCCTAGACATTAATTTTGAAATAGATGACGATGTTCTTTCAAAAGTTTTTGAAAACCCGCAGGATACGACAGTCGAAGTACAGTAAGATGAAGTATCAACATTCATAAGAGAAAACAGGAACAAAAACACTGCAAAAAAGACACATAACGATTTACAAGTCTTCTACAGGTGGGCGAAAACGATTAAAGAAACAAGAAAAACTGAAGAGATACCGCCTAATGAGCTGGACAAACTACTAGCCTGTTTTGTGGTAAAAGTACGCAAGCAAAATGGCGATGAATTTGAACCAGATACTCTTACCTCCTATTTCCGTAGTATCGACCGCTTCCTTAGAGAACAAGGCAAACAATACTCCATTTTGCTGGATAGAGAATTCAACCGTTCTCGGGAAGCTTTGGCTTGCAAAAGAAAGGAGCTCCGTAAGCGTGGGAAAGGCCAGAAACCAAATAAGGCACAGGAGCTGAGTACAGACCATATTCAGATATTATGGCAAAAACAACTTGGTAACAATTATCCTCAAGTCCTTCTGCGTACAGTTTGGTTTTACAACACTGTTTATTTGGGTTGGAGAGCACAAGATGAGCACCATCGTGTAAGATACGGCGGCTTTGAAGTCAAAACAGATGGAGAAAGAGAGTACGTGGAATGGATTAAGGAACGCGGAAGCAAAACTAAAACAGGCGAAAATTAGTTCGTCCCGGATCGTCCGTTCAATCCTAAGATGTTTGCAACTGGTGGACCTCGTTGTCCAATGAAATTATTCAAGGAGTACATTTCTCATGTACCACCAGAAATGAAAAAAACAGAATCTCCGTTTTACTTGGCAGCCATTCAAAAACCATCATCAGAGATATGGTACAAGAGACAACCACTTGGAAAGCACTCGCTGGCACAGTTCATGAAAGAGGTGTGCAAAGCCGCCGGTATTGAAGGCCGTTTTACCAACCTCTCGGCACGAAGAACCATGATTTCAACGCTACGAAAAGAAAACGTAGAGCCTCTGAATATAAT